CCCCCCCCCCGCCGCAGAGGCGCCCCCTAGGGGACCACGATTCTTGGGCAGGGCCTGGCTCCTTGGCCAGCCAGTGGGAGGCCAGGCCCCGCCCAGACGGCTCCGGCTGACCAATCCCAGAAGGGCCTGTTTAGGACCCGCAGGGGCGTGGGGAGGTGAGGGAGGGGCTGATGGCGGTCATGTGCGGAGAGCCCGCGGGCAGGGGCACGTGTCCTACCTGGTCTTGGCGGCTCCTCCTTGTGGGGCCGGTTCTTGCCGAGCTTCATGGCGGAGAACACGCTCCTCCCGGCTCTGTGAGGAGGGCCGCCAGGATGAGGGGAGGAGATGGGGCGAGGGACAACACACACCACCCACACACACACACCACCCCACCCACACACTCACACCACACCACCCACACTCACACACACACTCACACACACACACCACCCCACCCACACACACACTCACACACTCACACACGCCACACACACACACACACAGAGACTCTCACACACATGCACGCGCACTGTGAGGAGGACTGCCAGGATGAGGCGGAGGAGATGGCGTGTGGGACCACACACACACACACACCATACACACGGGACAGCCAAACACACACACACACACCACACACCCACACACACAACACACACACACACACCACACACCCACACACACAACACACACTCACACACAACACACACACACATTCACACACACACACTCCCCCACAGACTCTCACACACACACACACACACACACACACCACACACACACATGGGACAGCCAAACACACACACACCACACCCCCCCACACACAGCACACACACTCACAACACATTCCCACACACACCACACACCCCCACACTCCCCCACAGACTCTCACACACACACATCACACACATACACACCAAACACATTCCCTCACACACCACACACACACACACACACCACACATACACACCACACACATTCCCTCGCACACCACACACACACACACACACACACCACACACACACCACCCTCACACACACCCCCCACACACCACACACACACACAACAGCCACACACACTCACACACACCACTCACACACACACCCCACACACGGGAACAGCCAAACACAAGAACACGTGA